GGTCTGTGGACGCAGATGCATCCAGTGACCTGGGTGCTGGCGGGTTTGGGTGCTGCTCAGAGGAAGGTGCTGCCAGACTGTGGTGCAGACTGGCAGTGTCTATGAGAAATCACAGCCACGGGCAAGCACAACCGGGTGAGCATTTTGGCAAGTCCCTCCACAAAAGCAACCGATACGGGTGTTCTCCACCCTAAGCACACYAGGTGTTGCTCATGTATTATAATGTTACATGGAAGCTTTCTCGAATTGCCCATTCACTGTGAAWTGCTTGGAAATATTTGGAGTGAATATTGTTACATATATCTGTGTGTATCTGCATCTTTAATGTGGGTAGAAAATGAACTCCAGCGGCGGTGATACTGGATTAAAGATGCTATGAACATCCTTAAGCACTAGGTGTCTCCCTTAACGTATTTATTGAGCCGAGAGCTTGCCACTGTCCAGCTGAGACGAAGTGGATGTGAAAGGCGACCTATAAATGCATGTAGCCCCAAACATACCAAAAATATGTGAGGATAGTTGGCTATTTTYGTACAGCAGAGCTGTAAAGCTCCTGTGTATGAGAGGGAAACAAATATAACGTGTTTTGGAACAAAATAGCGATACTGCAGTACTCAGTGCAATACAAAAGAGCGAGGTAGATAATGCTACAAAAAAGTGAAGAATAAAACCAGCCAGCACCCCATTATTTTGATCTGAGTTAATTCCTGCCTGAATTTTCCCCTCTCCGCCCCGTTTCCTGCTGGGGGCTGCCACAGCCCTGCCGAGGTCGCAGGGGTGCAGGGCGTCACCACCCGCGGGCCATGCGGCTGCCGCGATGCGCCGGGGAGGCCCGGGCACGCACACGCCTGAGGCTGCCAAGATGGCGCTGGCGCAGCAGGCCTGCACCCGGACCAGGGGGTTATGAACAGACCTCYGTGTGTTTGTAAGTTTAAGGAAGGGTCTTGCCTTGGCTTCTCATTGCTTGATGAGTTAATCACATTTTTGAAGCCAACGGACTGTTGTTCGTTAGACGTGCTCCGAGCACGGGGCGGGCTGATGGAAGCTCCTGCTGCGTGTCCGGCTGTGTCCGCAGGCCCCACCTCTGGGAGCCGCTCCCGTGGGGACAGAGGTGCACGCGGCCGCCCCGCCGCACCTCCCGCGCACGTCCACACGCGAGCAGAGCCGTTTCCCCACGCAGGCAAGGAGCCGGTGCGGCTGCCCCACACAGAGCCGTTGCACACGTGTCCTGTTGCTAGTGAGTAAAAGTGAAACACATCACCCCAAGAGGAGACGATGGAGGAGACGATGGAGGACACAGGGGCATTCAAACAACCGTTGTCCCTGGGATGAGCCTGCCTTTTTTTACCCCCTCAAAATATTTTTTTTGTCTGCTTCTGAAGTTAAATTCTTTTCTGTGTGGGAATGAACACAGCTGAATCCAGGGGGAACAGCMGGGCAGCTCATGGAGAGGCTGCAGAAAGAGGCCCCAGGGATCAGGCAAAGCCTCGAGCTGTGTTGGCCTGGGCAGCAGGTCGCTTGTGGACAACGTTGGCACCTGCCTAGGAGAAAGCTCTGGTAAGAGGGGCAGTGGCAGAGCTGGAGTAACTGTGGTGGAATGGGAGCTCTTACATTTCTCTCAGAATTACTGCATATTTTTATGCTGTGAATGTGATGAAGCATTTCTGCACCTGCTGTCTTCACTTGGAGAAACTGCAGAAATTCTCCCACCTGAATGGGGCGGCTATAACAACGGGAGCTGACAATGTGTAAGGCCTATTAGTCATCTGAACTATGTGGGCAGAGATTTTAGATGAGGGAATTCAAACATAGTGGGATGGAGTTTTTAATCTTTATTTTTAGGAAGCTGTGTGTGAGAGAAGCAGCAAAAGCAACCTAAGACATTGCCTACTCCAACCTGGTGGGTTAGGCTGTCAGTCGCTCTGCTTATAGGTCTTTTTAAAGGGTGGCTTATCCTGTTTTAAGATAGATGCCAGAAAGACAGAGGTGGAATGAACCACATCCTAGGGATACCTCTGACTYGCACTGACCACGGGAACAACCAGCTAAAGCTCTGCAGCTTGTCCTTCCACAGCTGAAAGCAGGGGCAGTGAATCCACCAAGCATCTACCTAACCCACCGTGCTGCTCGGAGCACAGGCAGCCTCTGCTTGGCAGACAAGCAGGGTGAGCMTGGGCCTGCTGGCAAGTTGGTTTGAACACATCTCTAATTCAAGGCTTGACCTGCTCATGGATAAGTGCAATCAGTTACATTTCTCAGAAGGTGTATTTAGCAGCATGCAGCACCTTCTTGCAAACTACTCCAGAACACAACATATGATTTTGAAACTCTTGGTACTGTTCTCTTAAACAGTGGCTATTGAAACAGTCTCATTAATACTATTCCTGCATAAACATTAATTCTCATTGATAATCCTTTGTTTATATAGGCAAGAACACTATAGCTCTCCTGGGTACATTTCTATAATAGTAGGCTGTTTGGTTGATTATCCAACTTTTTATTATCCAGTACTTGCTTTCCCAGCATTTTGCTTTCTGAAACACAGCCTCCCATCCTGTAATGAAATACATCTTGAATACATCCGTGAATCCCCTCAAAAATGCCAGGCAGATAAGATTCCACAGTCATAGAAACCRTGCCTAGCACAGCAGATCCATCAGCTTCAGAAAATAAATGTMATCACCTCTGAATATGTCTGTCTTTACCAGATTCTGCACTTGGATATTTGGGATAGCTGAGCAGGATGCAAGAGATCACAGAAATCACGTTAACACCCCTTTGGTTCTTGCAACAAAGAGAAAGGAAAGATTTCTTAAATTTTCTACTTCAATTTGCTGACAATGCAGAGAAATGTATAAGGGGGGCTCAAGGGGAAATGTGAGCAAAGCTCTTCACTGATTCAACTGAAGGGATATCAGCCTTGTGTAGTGAAACAGCAAATGCCAGAAATGCCAATGAATTCAAATATAATGCACAAATACCCGCATATCTATATACAAAAGTGTTCTCTCTACCCTTCTCTTAGACCCTAATTCAGCAGTGCACGTGTGCTTCACTTCATCAGGACCAAAGACGTCTGAATCACAGATGAAAAGAATATCTCTAACTAAATGCACGTGTCTGATTTAGAGACACAGAGGTTACTTCATTAGGCTGCTACGCTTTTTAATGATCTCCAGGTCAGTAGTGGGCATCAAAGTGACTCTTGCAAGAGCTCCTTCTCCCTGCTTCCACCTTACATGTATTACCAGTTGTAGGCTACTTGTATTATTCTTTCATCTTGCTTTCAAGGGTTGGCAGAGACTGGCATGTTTATATTAGTGTGCATAAATAATTTATTGAWTAATAACATATGAAAATGAATCTGATACGTTTCTCTACATGAATAACATTCTATTATTGACTTTTATTAATCAGCACATTCCACTCCATCAAACCTAAATTCTGTGAGGAAGAGGAGGGGAGGATGTGGAAAGGCAGTTAGGAAAAAYGAAGCACAGTGGGCTGACTACATCTGAACAACACTTGGCCTCTGAGAGGACAGAGAATATCAGTCAGGGTAACTCAAATCATATGGCTGAGATATAGTACAGTTATATGCAGTCATGATAACAGTTCGTATACTGTCAGTATTAACAGAGGCGGTTGTTGAGAATACAGCTTTAAAATAGGTACATACAATTTTATTAAGTATAAAAAGACACCGCGCAGAGCACAATACAATATATTTCATCTTTACTTCTGGCAGTGTTGACAGCCCCACCGTCTTAGTGATATTGTCATCAAAAGACACTGGATAGAATTACTTCTCTGTATAAAATGCCTCTTCTCTGGGAGTATTTATGTCATATGGTTTCAAAAATATGAGAATTTCCTTTCAATGGCTACTTATACTATACAAACACTGTCAAGACTGGTGGCTAATCTGTACACTGTTTTTTTCACCTAGGCCACGGTAACGTTCTCCCCTGCTGTGCTTTGCCTCTATTTGAGAATCGATCCGTCGAGAAATTGAACGGATGTTTTTGTTGAAAATATTTGAGGAGGCAATCATTGCTTGTGCTTCTGGTTTTGTTCACAATCAGAGCACCAGTTCAGGGCTTTTCTACATTCCTCATCCTGCTCAGCTGTCACTGACGTCAGCTGAAGTTTTCATTCCGCACGGCTTGTGGGGTTCTCCCCTAAGCTGTTTCCCCCCCATATTTCTCTAGTGTAGCACAGAAGACATGCTTTAAACAATTACTTAGTAGAATGTGGGGCTTCAGTGTTTCTCATCACTTAAAAATAGACGATATTTATAGCCTTCCAGCTTTGACTATCTTCTTTGGAAAAGCAGACATGTAAACTTAAGAACTTAACTAACTATTTTGGTTTTACATTCCAATTTGGTTTGATTAAAAATAAGTTCAAAACCATAACTTCAAACTGATTTATATGGTAATGTGCCAGACTTAAAAGAAACAACTTACACTTCCTCTTCTCTAAAATATATTAACATTAAACTGGAAAATAAATTAATACCGAAAAGCTGAGATTATGCTATCACAGGAATATCCGTCAAACAAAGCTTGGTCTTTTGCTAACATTAGCTTACTACATTTGCAATACATGCTCAGCAAAGACCCTACTTCTCTAACAGGTACATTCTTACAATAAATATTTTATGGAATAAATATATAATATATCCAGTTATAGATTTCTGAATAGTAGCTATAATAGATACAAGCAATACCTACATTTAAAAATACAGTTCTAGGACTCCCTAACTTTACTACTAATAAAATTATAATTGACCTAAAACTTTCTCACTCTGCTGATGCATAATAAAATATATGGAAACACCAAGAGTAAAAAGCCAATTGCTTCTACAAATGGAATACTTTAGAAATATAGTAAATTGCTATTTTCAGAGCGAAAAATTGAAAATTATAAACAGTAAGTTAGGTTAAAACTACTCTACAATATATAGTACAAAGTGGCTCTGAAGTGTGATGTATGAGTTTGATGCCTGTGGCAAAATTTTGAACGGATGTAGTTGTTCATCTCTGGAGATAACTGTAGGGAAAGGTTCCAGCCCCAAATGCAGCCAATCTTGAGCTCCTTAAGCAAAACTCTTACAGACCAGAGAAAGCCAATTTGTCAGAGCAAGGGGTGCAAGATTGGATCAAGAAGAATTACTGGAAGCCCTAGACTTCTCTTTTGTAGAGTTTACTTACCACTGCTCTGTTCTCAGTGGGAACAGAGGCGCAGCTGGGTAATGGTGACTGCAGTGCTGAAAAGCTGTATGATGAAAGCACCCTCCATCCAGCTGTCCTGCTAAGTCATTCTTACACTGCACGTTCTCCAGATGAATTCTGTTGTGTGTTCCTGTGGTTGTTTCCTTTTGCTGGAATACTGAAGCACAGCTCCAATTGCTTGATTACTGATCTCTTGATCTATGCCGTTATTTTTTCTTTGAGAATAACCTGGAATTGAAAAAAAACACACCTATTTTTTTCAGAGTAAATACAAGGAATTTGAGAATTAAGATGCTGGCTGCATCTGCCTGTCTTTTCTTCCTTTCAGTTTAAAGAGTAATTTTAAATTAGGAAAAATGACTGACTTGCTAAGGAAAAGCTTTAGTATAAGTGAAAAACAAAATGCTGTTATGTGAGGTAGTACCATTTTTGTTTGTCTTCTGCAATGGCTCTATTTTAGGCTGACAATCAAAACTTTTTTCATGAAAAATCACCTTTTACATCTCTTTCCTGAGTTGAAGCCCTAGAGCAAGATTCAGATCCCACTGGCAGACTTTTCATAGAYATTTTTTTTGCAGCTACAAAACTGGAATTTTAAAGGTCACAGGACAGGTGTTCTRCAAGTATTTACACACACATATATATATACATACATACATATATATATATATACATACACACACGCATATCTGTCAATCAACAGAGAACAGTGCCAACATTAAGAAGAACGAAAGCATCATCAGGAGCTTCCATTTCTCATCTTGCGCCATTTGGGGACCTTCTGAGTCCCTTGCAAACTACTAATGGTTCAAGCATCCTGTTTTGGGAACCTCTGGCAAGGGATAAGGAAGATCAGGATTTAAGTCCTTGCTTTACTATATACTCATTGTATGTGGAGTATTATACTCCATGCCTTGGAGAAATTTAGCATATCCATAAAGGTATCCATGCGATTTCTCACTGATTTCAGAAGTGSCTGTGTGGAGAATCTGGGCTTTGGTATCTTTGTGCTTCATATGCCAGCTGTTTTGACTGAGAACTTAGAAGCCTCTTGGAAGCTRCTGTAATATTGAACGTGAGGCTAGAGTGAATGAAATATTCCCTAGCAAACCTTAGATAAGAAGCAGGTACTTGTGGATTCCCTGCAGAGGAAAAGTTTGGGTTTCCTGGAGCAGGCAGTGGACTAGAGAGACTTCACATACCAGCAGTAAATCTAACTGTTCAGTTTCACAGTAGTAACAGAGCAGTGAAAAGCCATTAAAAATATGTCTAAATCTGGTCGCACCTTCTTCTTACTTGTCAGAAATGCTCTGTTTTTCTAGGAGTGATCCAGGGAAATACAAACTTCTTACACAGTCTTGTTTGCACATATGCCAAAGCTGCACAGTGAGTACTGATTTCTGGGTTCTCACTTGGAAATTAACTCCAGAATCTGTAAGGTCTTTCATCTATTTTCAAGATGCWTTTTTTTCTGGGGACAGAGCACACAGGAATGTACCAATGAACGAGCACACGTTCTCACGGTGCTCAGCAGCTCTTCCTGGCTTTAAGGAAGAGCACTGAATACTCTCACCTACGACATATGGTTTTGCTGTGCAGTTTGCTGCTGTTGCTGTTGCTGAATGAGCAACTGCTGCTGTTGCCGGCGTCGGGCAGTCCTCAGTTTTTCGAACCGAGCCTCCATCTCCTCCAGCACTTTGGGAGTGTAGCGAACCACCAGCTTTACACTCTCCTTGGCCGCCTTCAGGAGCTCCACGGCTTTCTCATGGTGTTCTCCTTCCACGCTCTGAAAGCAAAAAATTAAYAATAAAAATGTGGTTTTGATGTGGAGTTTTGTCCTCTTTCTATGATAGCTGCCATGGAAAGGCTGTTAGGGTTTTAAGACATTTACATAATTTAGATTTTTCAAGGGACCGTTAAGGAAARGTGTTTAATTAAATAAAATTTCTGCAATATTCATTTTCACATTTTAAACCAATAACCCAATGAGTCTCCCTTGGATTGCATTACAAACCTGATTTCTGATCTATGTGAAAAAGAGGGCAAATACTCTCTAAGCTTCACACATACAAAATTAATGTAAAAAATATCTCCTGCAGTAAACTAACTCAACTAACTTGTTTGAAAAAATACAAAAAGTGGATTCCTGTAAACATCAAACCAGATTTAAATGTTGGTAAGAAGTGAAAGAACTGCAAGCTTGAAATAACCCTTTCCCTTCTTATGCCCTAGCCCTGGAGGGATTCCATAGGCAGCAATTAAGCGTTTGCTTTATTGCAGAAGTGTGAACATGCCCAGCACTTTTGGGATATCTTGCATGTTAAAAGCCAGTGGAGTCACTCAGGCCCTTTCCACGTGTATGATACTGGTCCTATACTGGGAATATCTGTTCAGTTGTAGGCAGTCAAACACTACCAAAACATTTCAAGTTCCTGCTTATGGAGCTGTTTTCCTTCTTCTTGAGAGTGGTTTATAGCAAGATATCTGTGGTGAAATCAAATGTTTTCCCTGAGGATTCAAGCTCTTATTTGCATGCTAGCACTGCTTCAAACAGTAAAGCTCTCCAAAAGGGAGATAATTTGGCTGCAAAAAGAGTGTTTAATGGTTTCCATTCAATGCCTTGACTGGAGTGCTTTTCAGGCATGCAGATTGCTCTGCACCTCTGGAGAAAGTGTAGGATTTTTTAATGGTGTGTGATTGCCCACAYAGGCTGTAAGATATATTCCAACAAACAAAACTGTCCCTGCACAGGAAAAAAACGACATTGGCAAATGGATCTTACATCATTCAAAAAATAAATTATTTTCTTTCTACAYGAAGTGAGAAATCAAAGTTATACTACATGCTGTGTTTTAAAACTCTTATGTATACCATACTATTTAAAAGGAAACTATACTCATAGGCCTCAGAAAAGAAGCAGCAGCATTCAAAATATTTGAAGTTCAATTCATACTAAAAGAATAATTTGGCATCGTTATAGCAACTGTCAGATGTCAGAAGAAAATTCTGTCTATTTTCATCTCCATGAGCCTGAGCTGAGTAGCACTGGGTAACAAGAGTGAATAAGAATTATGTGTGCTGTGGCAAGCTATGAGCTAGAAATTATGCTATAAAAGCTATAAAAGCAAACACGATACACTTCTACACAAACAGCACACACTACACAATTCAATCTTATCACCTTCCTGTGTATTCTCCTATCTCCTGTTAAATGTCTTTTTACATATTAATCCAAACATTTATTTTATGGCTGGATCAACTTACTGCTCTCAAGTGTTTGTGCAGAAACCTAAGATGCTTCAGAAAATGTCAGTGCAACTTAGAGAAATAATGCATGCCATTTCAGGTGCTGAAATATGACCAGAAATGGAGGAAACCTTGAGGTAAATATTTATTTGGTTGTTGAAATTTGGTATTTTTGAAGCATTAACTCACAAATCTCTTCCAATGTGCTTCTTATGCATGAATCTTACATAAAAATTATGATCTGTGATGATCAGATTTGTTAGAAGTGACTGGAATAATCCTTCTGGAAAAGCCTAACTTCCCCAAAGCGGTTTGGAGAAAACAGAAATTCATTAAAAATTTTGAAAAACATGAAATTATTGTTGCATAATAAACAGTAAATATGTCCAATGCTCTGGAGTTAGAACAGAAAACTGTAGGTGGCAGGGTGTTCTGTAAAAAAACTGCTTTAATGAAGTTATCTCAGATACCAAATGAAACCTCTTCCTCGTGTTTCCCTCGTAATTGCTGAATATCAGGGTGAGGAGATTATAACCAGGGATTTAGTTAAACAGTTAGATGTAACTAACTCTATTATATTTTTTTTTAATAACCCATTGCTTTGTGAAATGGTTATAATGGTTTCTGGGAAAACACTTGTCCTCTTGAAAGGAGCAGTATGAAACTTGGATTGTTCTGCACGTTGCTTTTTCCTCCGGAGCTGCAGTCAGAATGTCTTGTCACAGACATTCCGAAGAAATGTCACCATATTCACCGTGTTGTCCTTATCGCTTGTGCTCTTGTGCTACTCAGAACAGGCTGTGAAAAAACATAAGCTGCACGCAGCACATTTACAGGAAGTAGATAAAATATTCATTTGCTTTCCAAGAGTTGGCTGGTTCTAATTGACAGCAATAAGCAATTGTAAGTGTATCTGCTCTTTATGGGAATATATTTTAATATTTTGCACAACTTTGTAAATTTTATTTAATTCATTGTTGTCTAATCTCATTTCCACTTGCCCCAGGCCATATTCTTCCAGTTTGCAGCCAGCTTTTTCTAATTAGAAATGAAGTGTTTGACTTTGTTGGTATCCAGGTCAATGGAAAAAATCACGTTGGCTTGAACAGTACAGAATTAAGGTTAAAGCTGTGAACCACTGCCAAAGTGGGGGAAGTAACAAAGGCAAAAGAAAGGAYGGTGCTTTGAACTATCTGCCCTCTCCAAACCTACCTACCTCGTGTCTAAACAATGAGTCTAAACAATGAGAGTCAAGTTTTCAGCAGCACTTACATCACTGTGGTAGCTGCTCTTTCCTGCTGCTTGCACTGGCATGTCCAAAGCACTGCAAATGCTTTTACCTGCACAGCTGCTGYTATGGAGCTTACAGAGAAATAAAACTTGTAGCAGAGGAGAGAGTTTATACCAGGAAAGGGATTTYTCCCCTGTCTACAAGCTGTGGAAGTTGTGCTGGTAAATGACTYCCTCTGCTCCCAATCATGCCTATACAGGGGACTCTGCTGACTGCACTGCACTGGTCGGGAACACTGCGGGGAYGAGAGACTCCCGCGGCTTAAAGACTGCCCACCAAACATGCAATGTAATACGTGTGCATGACTGAATATCACRGAATCCTTAAGGTTGGAAGGGACCTTTAGAGACCATCYAGTCCAAMCCCTCTGCTCCAGCAGGGACACCCAGAGCACGGGGCACAGGGCGGCATCCAGGCGGGTTGGGAAGATCTCCAGAGAGGGAGACTCCACAGCCTCCCTGGGCAGCCTGTGCCAGGGCTCTGGCACTCTCACTGTCAAGAAATTTTTCCTTGTGTAACTCCACTTCCATGTTAAAAAATACAGAGAGATATAGAGCACAGATAGATACAGAAGAGGGTATGAATATTCAGAATGCATATCTTGATTTAATATGTAATTTTTGATTTTATGCATTTTTATATATGTACATATTTATTACTTTTGAAACATTGACAGATTGCCTCAAATGGGGAGATACAAAATGCTGTAGAGACTGAATAACTGGAAGAAGTGCAGGAAGATACTTATCATTACTGTATCAAGGCAGAGACAATTGCAGTAAGGATAAACACACAAAAATCCACTCTGTTGAAGACAAAAAAAAAAAAAAAAAGCGCCTGACTGTTACCCAACCAGCTGAGAAACAATATTTCTATTAGATATCCATAAGCAACTGCTTGGGTGAGATATTAACCATTATAAATCTATTTTGCATGTCTTTCTATATCTGACTCACCCCAGGTACCTGATATATGCAGGATCTTTGCCAGGTACGAAGAGCTATCAGCAAGTGCCTTTGCTGAGCCATCTGCAGGCCTCCTGCTTTCAATTTCCTTTACTTTTAGGGGGTGTGGGACAAAGTATGTAACAAAATGCAGCCAGCCAGCACAATGAGAAAGCAATTTTTTTTAACATCCCTCAGAACTGCTCAGGGAACAGTCAATCCAGTCATGCTGGGATAATGGATCTTGATTCTGAACATGCAGCTCTAATTTTATGTTGATAATTATAAAGCTGGATAACCACCAACTTCAGGGCATAAACAAGTTGCAGATATTTCATTTTCATCTCATGTCCTGCTGCCAAGCCGTCTGTTGTATTGTACATACTGTATATTATTTGCTTTTCTTCAGATAAATTAAGAGAAAAACAGAATGAACTAGTCGCAGGGAACAATGTTAATTTTAGCCGTTYCTCCTTCTGTCTCAAACTGCCTGCAAACAAATTACCACTTCTGTAACTTTTGCCTTTTTATGAATTACATTGTATAGGCTTAATTCAGCCGAAGGTTCGTTTGTGAACTGTAAGCATTAATTATTTCAAGTGGTCAAGAATTGCAATTCATACTTTTAATCCTGTTGTTTAGACTCAGAACACGGAAATATTTCTCTTGCACCTCAGAATCAGTTTTCTGGTGTGAAAACATGCAGTTGCGAATTTTACAGTRTATTTTCTGCTATATTAGCATAATATATATTCTAGAGCACATTCATGAAATTGTTTGAACAGAATGTCATGAAAGAGACATGTTCTGACAACAGAGCAAAAGTCAATATATTTTAACATTCAAAGGCTCACTRTTTTCCTGCCCAGGATTTACCTAAATGCCACTGACATCAAAAGGTTTGAGAACCCTGTCCATCAGATTGTAAATACAACCTCTTTTTACCTTTGACCCAAATAGATGGGATCTTATTTTATCTTCTCCCTATTCCAATATCCCTTTCAATTTTTCTTTTTAGCTCTAATATTCAGAGTGAAATCATTGCAAAATGCTCCATCTAAAAGTATTTACACAGCTGGGTAGAAATGTACCTTTTACCAAATGTACATGCTCCGTGTAAGTATTTAGCTGATTGCACTGACAAAATATTATAGCTGTATGAATGTCAGTGGTAGAAATCTGGAAYGTATCCTCTACTGCAAGCCAGTGGTAGATATGCTGACTAAATTTGATTGTACATGTTCAAACCCTCTGAAGGTCACAGGACCTTCTGCACAAACCTCTCTGAGGCATCGCTGGATTTGGACAGGCCTATATGCACCACAGGCGGTGAAGTACAAGAAGGAAAAAAACCCTCAGCTTTACTCTTCTGCTACAGAAGTAATTTGCAGAATTACCAGTTAGGGAAATCATGATTTCGTTATAAATTGAGCATGTGATGTGAACTGCAAATGAAGCTCTTCTAACAACCTCCATTACACCAGAAATTGTRGTGGAACAAAGCTGTGTGTGCGGCCTTGCCTCACAGCACCCCAAATGCATCCTGCAGGACTCTCACTGAGTTAATTCTTTTCTATCTCATGTTGGCTGCATTTGAAATCAAGGTACTGGGAAGGCTGAGGAAAATGAAAATCTAGAGGTTGAAAGCTCAACCAAATTTTCACATACCACTCCGTTCACAGAAAGCAGCTGGTCCCCCCGTTTGAGACCTCCATGCCTTTCTGCCACTCCTCCAGGAATGATGCGAGAAATGTAAATAGGAGAGTTCTGCTCTTTTCCTCCCATGACATTAAAGCCGAGGCCTTCATCGGTCTTTGGCAGCTCGACCACTCGCGGGTGTGAGTGGCCTTCACTGGCAGCAAAAGCAGCAACTGTTGCCTGCAAGAGAAGAGGGCGACAGGGCTATCRAGCGAGAACACGGACACGCTCTGCTCTCGTTCCGCTGGAGCAGCTCAGCAGCAYGGAAACATTTCAGTAGCTTTCTGTGCCTTTCTCCCTACCTACCCCAAGCGCTTTGCAAAAATGAAGTTCCATGCCAATCTTTCAAAACAGGCGATAAGCAGAGGAAGAGAGTTTAGGTGACTTGTCAAAGGTACGGCAGAAAGGCAGCAGCAGAGCCAGAGGAGGCGCCGGGAAGCCTGCCCGCGTGGCGCTCCTCTCCCTCGCGCGACTCTTCTTTGCCCCGTCTTCCCACAGGAAAAAAGGCTCGTTACAGTCGGATAAGAGGATGTGACCTACACTTTGTTCCGAGTTGAAATAAAGTGATTTTTTTTCAATGTTCGTACTGAATATAACAATTCAGTGATTGTTAACTCTCTGCTCTGCTCTCTGATGTATGGGACTGGTTATTCTGTTCTTCTGGGACATAAAGAATCCTGTAAAGCTATTCCTGTTTTTAAAAGTCTAATTTATAAGTGTGAAGTGTCACAAACTAAATACCTCCTGGAATAGGAAAATGAGTTTTTACAGTATAATTGGATCAAAGCGTTTACCGGAAAATTAAATCTTGAGACAGTGAATTTGTAAATCAATTAGAAAATCTTAGATTGTTATTCTTATTGGGGAAAAAATGAAAGCATGTAACAAACTGTAGAGCTTGCATACAGGAAAATACTACATCTTCCATTTCATTTTTCACTACAAGTTTTTGTTACTTTACTTATACATCTCAGTGTGACTAAACAAACATTAGAAAAATCTATTGTCTTTCTCAACATGTATTTGTAGTCCAAACTGCTAGAATAACTCTGCATTATACTAACATTCTTGAGCACTTTAATAATGCTTATGCTTATTAGAAGCTAGTGGATGATGTGGTACAATGGATCATTCTCAGTTATATGCTGTTGCACATGCAGACCTTGTCATCATGCATACATTTTACATCAGACACGAATGCACTAGGAGAATGCAATGCAGACAGCCCAGAAATAACCAGGAAATATTGCGATATTGAAACACTGCTTTGTAACCCTGCTGTTCTATATGAATAAGAAATGAGAATGGCAAACACTAATTGGGTTTCTCCCATTTGCTGGACAACACAGCAATCATTTCTAAGTTTATCTGCAGTGTAGGCCAACCAAGATCTAATACACACATTTCTCTGCATAGTAGCATAGACCTTACAAACGTACATTGCTCATTTGAAGTTTCAATTGGAAGAAGGTTAAAACCAAAGAACAGCCTTCAGAAAGGAACATACTATTTAGGAAGGAAAATACAATACAATTTACCCTATAATATGTTATTTGTTGGCTATCACATGGTTTGCTTCTCTACAATARTGTAGGAATCTCTTGATAACATACTCCAAAACTTCATCTTCTGTTGTAGTTTTAAATAAAATTCTCTAATGCAAATACATAAAGGCAAGATCTTAGTTCCATTAACATTTCTGGGTGTTTTGTTGCTTATTTCACAGGAGAATACCTGTGAACAACAATTCATATACAATGATCTCGAAGCAGCTTTGAGGATTCTGAAGGTTTACTTGCTTTCATGGTACCTGCTTTACCACCCAGAAGACAGTCTTGAACGCAAAATGATAATTGGAAAAATACAGCCACGGCAGGACTCCCCATTTGGAAAAATCATTGTGCATATTATAAAATTACAGACCATATTAAATAGTGGCAAATAGAGCATGTTCTTTCTTGCTTGTGTGAATTCCCTTAGAAAAATCACCATTTTAGTAGTAGTAGTAGTAATGTAACCACTGTGATCTAAGGATGTGATACAGGCAGGTTGATGTAGCCAGAGGGACAAGGTGCTTTATCCTTGTCCTTTTTCCTGAAGATGACACTTGAGGAAAAGTGGCCGGGCGTCTGGCTACAGTCTCTTGGTCAGGCCATTTTCCACTTTTCAGCCTTGCTCCTCACTGGATACCTACAGTTCCCATTACTTAAAAGAGGAATTTTGTCTGTTTAGTTCCTRCCTCCCAAATCATTGCACTCCCCTGAAGATGCTGTATGGGAAAATAGTTCATTAAAATACTGATTTTTACAGGTAGACTTTGCTCTTGCAAACCAACTTTTCAAAAACCACCAAATTCCATAAAATCATTCTCTTTTCTTAAGCTACAGAAGCAGCATAAAGGTTTAAATTTTCCATTACGATTGTTACCTGGGAAGTAGCACTGGTTCTAGACTCTGGGCTGCCACTGATGTCTAAATTTCCTTACAGTGTACACACGAATACCTGAAACACACACGCGCACAGTCAATTACTAGGTCACTTTGGTAACACGTATTTCAACAGCTGCACGTGTCCTACCTTTGCTGTGGCCCTGGCTCGGAATTCGGGGCAGCCATTAACAGTTATGGTTTCATGCATATATTGATACACCTAAAATGTTCATAAAGATAAAAAGAAATTAATTACAGAAGCAAAACAAGGACTTTATTTTAACCCAGACAGGCAGTCCCTTSCCCACTCGCTACTGTTGTTCTCTAGTACAGTCTAAATCCATAAAGAAAATTGTGAAAATCGCCTTGATACTGGCCAGTTATCTTGAAATGAACCATAAACAAAACAATATGCCTATATACAGTGTATGGGCTAATTTTTAAAAGACATAGGTGAAGGGAGGGAAACCAACAGAACCTTTTGTTTAATCTTCTTCTAAAAATATCAAGCCTAAAAATTTCTTCCTATATGCAGCGGATTCACCCTGGGCATTTTCTTGACCTGCTTCGTCAGGAGTTTTATCCTTTTCTGTGCTTTATGTCTCAGATTGAATTCCTCAGAGAGAACCTTTGCAGGTGAAGTATGTTAGCTTTGATAGTAATCCTTYTCTTGGGCTCCTTGAGGAGTGCAGATTCAATCACCCTTTCCAAAATGTATTTCTCTGTCTCTGATTTAGACACATTTTAACAGAAATGTCAAAACTTCTTTCTTCAATAATATAAATGTTCCTTCAACATATCAGGTGCCAGGTCCTGTATTTGATTGACCTATAAACAGCTCGACTTCTTAATGGGTAAAACTCCCCTTTCCTCTGTCTTGCTAACTTACTATGCAGTATCAGGTGTCAAAATCATGCATCTCTTCCCCCCGAGTCTGCCTCTAYACATGGATGAACATATTGCTACTAACGCCTGGATGGGACTGAGATGTGTAGCTTATTTCTGATTTCAAAATAAAACAAATGTAATGACAACACAACATTTAGAGTAGTAAAATATTGGGGATGACTGATCCCYAAACCTTATATAAGGAACATTATACAAGAAGGAAAGACAAAAGGAAGAAGAGATAAATATATTATGATCTCGGAGATCTAAAATGTGCTAACCAGTTTCAAAGCACAGCAAAAGAGTATTTGACTTGAATATCAGCCACACATAAGCCCTTCAAAGACTTAATTCAAAAAAAATGGTGTCCAGTGAGACCTGGGGAGCAGGTTGAAATATTTCATACTTTCCTAATTTGAAGTAAGATCTCTCTTCCACTAGTAAATTCRCTTTGACTTCAGTAGAGCCCAGAATATGGCTCTTAATCTTAAAAATACAGCAGAAGAATGTTTTATAACCTCTGAAGGGTGTTGGTTTTGTTTTATCTTTGTATCAGATTATGCTGTTGTAAAAACAGCATGTGTCTGCATACGCAGCATTACCTTGCACGGACCAGCGCAGTCTTGTCCTGGCCAGGTCAATGCTGCTCTGGGTGCTACACGGTGGGACCAAAGAGCTGGTTATGTAAGAGCARCTAGCACGTGCCTGTGGTAAGCAGTCATTAAACAGTTGTCACTCATGATGTACAGAACCACTCACTGGTAATGCTGTGATTTTTGATACCTACAGGCTTCTCTCTGTCTTAAAGCATGAGAGCTGATTGTCTGCACTGGCCCTGCTCGCACAGTTAGACACATAGTGGTTGGCTGTTAAGTCTACAGGCATGTGCTGCTTAACTATATTGCATATTGAGCTACTATGACACTGAATGGTCTTGAAAATAAATCACATTTCAGCTATAGCAATTGTTACTGAGAAGATTTTTAAGATATTYACTACTAAGGTAAGAATCACAAATGGAAATTGATGATCATTCCTGCAAGCAGTTATTTGATGTCGTGTAACTCCATACTGGCTGAATACTATCAACAATACTATCAACTATCAACTAAATCAACAGATGTTAAAAAGGAATCAACCAACACAAAAACATCTGATAAAGTGATCAATAACGCCACATGGCTTGTAAATTCTCAACGATAATGGAATCAACATGTGCTCTGCACACAGTTGCCAATGATAATAATATCTATAGTACAGTTCCTAGGAAAATATATCTTGCCTGTCAGAGCTCACTATAAGCACCAGACGAGACGAGTCCTGAACACTTGCTCGAGGCAGTAGCAAATCCAATTTTCCTATTTGATGGTTATGTAATGTTTAATATAATTTTGATGAAGGAGGATAAAACATAAGCCTAAATGACTTTTTTATTATTAAGTTTAGCAGCACAGGGATTAACTGTACCTGTTCCAACAAGCCCCTGCGACAACTTGCAGGGTTCAAATTGTTCATTCTTACAACGCACAAAGAGCACAGCCTGTAAATAACCCCTGTTTGCCAGCAGCCCCGCTACCCCCCTTATCTACCCTGCTCTCAGTCCCACCTTAGATATGTTCCGTGCACAAAGGATCCTCTCTGCTGCCTCTGTCCTGTACACGAACCAGACGAACTGAAAATGCTCTTTGTTCTCAAACTAACTAAGCTGGCATTTAAATCCTCCCAGAGTGGAATATGGCTTTTTGTCACGTATGTCACAGCACAGGACAAGTACTTGGTAAACGGCTTTATAGGATCTTTTCTTTTGATGTCTGCTATTACCTGTAGCTCTCTGGATTAYATTTTTAACATATTGCAATCTTCCTGAATCTCACAATGTCACCTTCAAAACATCCTGTAAAATCAATGGTAGATTTGCTGATTTGGACAAAATATCACTCAATATAGGCCAAGGAAAACGTGCAGAGTTTAGTTATAAGCCTCTAAGAAACTCCTTTAGGATATTTACTAAGAGGTCTTTGGAAAGAGTGTCCTTTGTTGACCATGAGAGCTGAATCATTCAGAATGACATCCTGGATTATATCAGATTCACTGAAGTGCATCATGACTCGGTTTGTCATTTCAGTGTGCAAAAAAAGGGTATCAAATGCTTCCATTTTAACTTTCCTTCAACAGAAATATTGGCAAATATTTAGATAAACAAGAGGTCAAAGGTTTAATTTAACTTTAAAAATAATTGTCCATAAATAYAGAACAAAAAGAAAAATATAGCTACCCAGCCTTTCTTGCCTCCTKTCCCCCCTTTATTTCTATTAATATTGCAGGAATATAACCAGGAGGCCTTCATTGCCATCACAGAGAAAAATAAATTTGAGCACTGAATGAGATGAAGAAAACTACAATAAATGTTACTACTTTGAAAAAATTGCCACATATCTAATTTTGCATGTGCAGTTGCTTCTTTTTGAAGTGTCTAAAAGTCTACATGGGTGTTTAATAACATTATTTGCTTCCAGGCTCCAAGCACAGGCTGAAGGTCTGGTGCCCGGGAAAAGAGTTTCCACAGGTTCATGAGTAGGGCTGGAGCCAGGGTGCACTGCCAGTGTTTCAGAAGGCACCGCTGCAGCTGTCAGGTAAACTGGTGATGGATAAAACACTCTTCTTCCCACGATTTCCACCCAGATTGTCAGCTTCTGCATGCTCAGTGGTGGCAAAGTAAAAGCACGTGGCACAGAGGTGCCTGTACACACAGCCTGGATTTGCTCTCCGCAGCTAGAAACTTAGCTTTGCTCTCACTTTCATGCGCTGCACACAATGCAAAKTTTCATGAAGAAATACTCATAAAAGCTTCAACTTTTGCAACTTCTGCAGGCAGTATCCTCAGACACAAACATGACACAAACGTTCTCCTCCCATGGCACTCACAAGAAGTATGAGAAGCACAAAGGAGGAAATTGCAAGCTGAAAATCTGATCTTGGACACAAACCTCCTWGTACCACAGGAGGTCCTGCAGGCACAGAGAGACGCTTGTGTTGCTACTCTTCCTGCAGGAGCTCTAGCGAGCCAGGGCAGCAGGCACCCGTGTGATGTTATGATGGGGTCCTCATCCCCACACTGCGGGGCCGGAGAGCCAGGCTGCAGTTACTACAGGACAGGAACGAAACTCGGACAGCTGCTTTGGGAGCTGGTTTCTCAGCAGAAACTACTCCCCATGGAGCTGTAAGAGAGCAGCACGTGCTGGGCTGGCTGCTAAGGTCCATATGAGGCTTGAGGAGGAGGTCCACCAAGGATAGGGCACTTAGCAGCCTGCTCTGTCAAGGTGGCTGCAAGAAGCCTTCGAYAAAAAGCTGAATAATGCAGCACATCTTCTGCTGAATCCTAGAAGTTACTAGTTTAATTAAAAAGTCTTTTCCATTAACTCCTTTAAGAGGTACTCAGCCTCTCCCTGATGAAATATTATGCAAGTCTAAGTGCAATTCTAAGTATAATAATGATGCTCAATGGATTTTAGGACAGCTGGGTCTAGATATCAGGAGGGAAGAGACATTCTCTAGCAGTGAGCAAGTATTCCAGGCGGCCAGGTAACACCAGGCGGCAAACCAAGGACACAGTATACTGAAATGTAGACCTGGAATGGTAGAATGTCCTTAAAAAAAAAAAAAAAAAAAGCATTGGCTTTGCTGTATTTATGCAGTCATGTCAACAGAACAGCATATATGTATTCATCTTTTTGGGACTGAGGCTAAGGTGTAGGAGAAAGATCACTATTTTAATTATGAAATATTTCCTTACACCTCATTATAATGCTTCTGACATCAGCTACCCTGATCCTCCATCTTCATAATTGGCTCCACTTACGGGAAAAGAAGAMGAAAATATTTCTGCCTTCCAAGATGTTGAGTGGATAGGACGATCTTGCTGTTTTCTCTTTCCACCCTGAGAAGAGTTCACGCCTTGGTGTCACAATGCCCAGCTGCTGCCCTTGTTGTTCTTCCCTCTTCCCAAATTCTGCACCTGATTCTCAGACCTTCAGCCCACGTCTGACCCAAGAGGCAGGTGCTCTTGTGCCAGCAAGGGGCTCCGTGCAGCTGCGCTGCAGAGCTGCTGCCTGGCCCTGCGGTACCAGGGGCTGCTTTTCTTCCAATGACAAACTTCTACCCACAGCACAAACCAAGAGGGTCATTACTTTTTCCTCTACTTGTTTTTTTTTTTTTTACTATTTTCCTGTTCATATTTGGTCTTTTTTTCCTTTCTCACAATCTCTTTCCTGAATTTTCCATTCTTACTGCAGTATATTTGGATGGGTGTGGAGGTGGATGCACTGACTTTTG